GTCAAACGGTCCCTCTTTCGGATGCACACAAAACACACCGTCTAACTCTGTGGTCGTTCGGCAGTCCACTTCCGACCATTTAACTGGCCACGTCTTTGTCAGCGTCTGTGCTCAGTACGTGGTCCAAAGCGAATGATGTTTCTACGCTCTTCAATGCATCAATCTCAGTCGTTAGACAACGAATCAAAGGTAACTTGACGAGTACACGCGAGGCATCGCTTGATAATTGAGGTCTCTACTAGATGACGAATTATCTGTCACATTTATGCATGGGTTCTTCTTATACTAGTCTTTGCAACTTCTTTGCGGAAGGTAGGTTCTGAAATTCTATTATAAGATGTTCATATACGACATGTACCTTTTGGTTTAATAGCGGAAAATTTCGCATTGTACTCCGTTGAAACAGCTGCTGTGATCTGCATTAGGTATTCGTCGTGTTGCAGGTTCATATTCTATGTATTCTCAAGGCTTGGATTAGTTTCATTCCGTGTTTGCAGCCAATGAACTTCCACTGTTAGTGAAAAGATGGACTTTCCTCATTCCTTGTGAACTATTCCAGTCTCTGATCTTTTTTACAAGCCTCCACCAGTTTTGTTGTTTCTGAAGTTTCGTGATGCTGTTATTGTTGTAAACGCACAGTAGTGACACACTTCGTTGTTACGTTTCAAACTGTATATACCAACCAGCGGTGGTTTGGCGCTCAAGTTGGTAACTGTGTCTGCACATCGTTCTTGAGGTTTTCTGAGAATTTTTTCTAACTCATGGCTATGAGAGCGTGTTCGCTGGCAGCCTGACGAAATATGTTGTAAATTGGACTTTTGGGCACGGACTGCCTTGTTGTTTACAAGATATGTATGGAAATGCGTCTAGAATCTAGTTGTCAATGTTGTTTCATTTCTCATCGATTTCCCACTGTAGTTGGTCGTTAGGTAGCAATTAGTTGTATTAATTTGCATCGCTAACGCTCGTTTAAGGCTATTGTTGTGAGGACGCGATTTACGAGAACTTGGCATGGCATAACATATGGCATGGCCAGAACTCTGTTGTTCAAATGCTGGTAGTTTTCACACGTGATATCTTCTCACACAGGCAACAGTTAGACGTAGGCTAAAGTGGCATTGAGATATGTGTGAAATGAAATCTGACGACATTCTTACGGTACTTTTTGTTGCATATAAAGAAAATGGACTCCAAGAATGGCAAGCTGACTGTGCGAAAGGGGAAACAAAAATTAATCAAGATCAGCAACTCGCTAATAGCGTGACCCCTGGTCAGTAATTGTCTGAAATGCATTCAACTTCTGTTGACCATGAATCGGAGGTAAGGAAGAACAAAGAAGCTGCGGATTTTCATCTTTGGACCTGCAGATTAAGCCACTTGCCATTACCTATAACTCTGACATTTTTTTTCTGACCACTGGTCGATAATTTGCGCCTCTCTGGCACTCGTGCATTTAGACTACCTCACAGGATCAGAACCAGGTTTAAACTAATCTGCCGTTTCTGTCCGTTCGGCTAATGTATCGACTTGAAACTGAAAGCTTAAACTTGATACTGACTATACAATCCGTATTTACTGTATACTCATCAGTGGATCTTCTGAGTTGTTTTTTGATTCTTAGGTGGATTTTTGCTGACAGATTCAAGAACTTTGTAGTGACTAGTCATTGCAGAAAGACTAAATAGTACGGAATAGGTTTCGACCAGTATTTCAGCATATGTTTTCTATATGATGCGGCCGAAAATTTATTCTGACTGTTGTGCAGGTATTTCCCACGATCTGTCTAATACATAACATCTGTCTGGTGACTGGCAATCCTCATGCGAACATAGCGCCAGAAGTGAGTTTATGGAGTTGAAAAGCAATTACTTCTTGCAGTCACTCTTGCAGCACTATGTTCTTGACCGAGAGCTTCCCAGTCCCTATGTAGTCTGATTTGCCGATGCTGTGCAGAAACAGATTTACCGGTGTTATATTCAAGAATCAGCTGGACGATTGTCATGCCAATCGATAGGCGTGGATTGCTCAGAGAAGGATATGTAACTCTTTGAGAGCAGTCTGTAGCAAAATGGTATTAGTCTCTGCGAGTTAGTCGAGTTCGACTGCTTACATTGCCCTTTAAGGCTGAGATTATGAGATCGACATTTGTCTTGCAACCGGACCACATAATTTTTGTAGAAGATACGTTGATCCCAGTTTTTTACGAATGGTTAATCTCAAGTAATGGCCCGCTGCTTTAAACGACAATAAAAGCGTTAACGAATTACTGTTTTTCCCACGATATTTAAATCTGGATTTGTGAAAAGAACTTATAACCTCTTCGATCCGTTTTTACCCATTCTCATGGGCTACTTTCTAAATTTAAGCTTTACCATTGGCTAAATTTGATCCTGATCTTTCGACCATATGGCATCATTCTAATCCAGAAGTTGCTGTGCTGTTCCGTTCTGCATAGGTCACAAGGGAGATATTTAAAATTTAAATTTTTGAAGTGATATTGAGACATCATCAATTAACGCATAAACCTTATGACCAGATTTTGCGCCGTTCTGCGCCGCCTCTTTCTCCTACCTTCTTAGAGAGTCTATCGGCCTCAGGATATTTGAGCATCTGTGGTGCTGGATGCCTCTCATTTCCTTTTCACCGCTAGAGCTACATCGCATTCATTACGAACGATGTTTCTTCAGGAGCATGTACTCCGCATTCGCTACCATCGATAACTCCTCTGACGTCATCCTCGAGTACTGTACTATGGTGTGATGGTGACGAGAAAGATAATCATTCACCGTTGCGTCAGTAATCCAGTCTCGGTTTGTTCTTCTTCTTGCAGACTTCACCCTCAGTGCCAAAGCAACTGGATGTTTGATCGTTTTGATTTAGTATTAACATAGTTTATTCTGTGCTTGTTTATCATTACGTTTAACGCAGTAGTGGAGCTTCGGCCTTTTCATGATTCGAGATTCGTGTTCAGCTAAGCGATTTGCTGTTTGCTATTGAGAATTGTTTACCATGTCAACGAAAGAATTGTTCTTTATCGAAAAGGTTTTTATTTTCGTTCCTTCAGTGAGCTACATGATGAACTGGCCACAGCCCAATTTTTGCCCGAGTTGGTGTTGTGATTGAGTAACGGACCAGCCAAAGGTCTTAACTCCTAGTTAAAGATCGATAAAATCAATTTGATGCCAGTTTTCTTGTCTGATCACCTCAGTGATGTTCTGGAAAATGACTAATGCTTGCATATTTGGC